TACTACTACTACTACTACTACCTGTTGATCCTAGACGGCCCTGCATAACCTCAGCATGCTGGAATCTATACTTCCCCTCAGGTACGGTAGCTCTCAAGGTATCCTCAACCCCAAGCCCTAAAGAACACCTATGATGTGGGTACTGCCCCCCCTCAGTAACAGTTGGATAATAATTATAATACCGTTACATATAGCCCTTAATAGGACCCCTAATATAGACTGTTACTGGGTGGGGGGCCGTACCCAACCTATGATGCTTGGCGCCACGCAGGCTTTTCAACATCAAGCGAGGTAAGAAACATGAAGTGCAGTTGTCAGCAACAAAAGATCCAGAACACGACGATTAAAGAGCAGCCGGTTCCCCAAAGGATCATAACAAAGCTACGAATCACTTTCTTACAATATCTACTGTGACCCTTGTCCTTCAGTACCAGCATCATCATTCTCAGAAGGCTCAGCAGGTGAGGTAAAGGAAGGTGGGGTATCGTAAGTATGCCCCATCAAAACAGGGCTCCTTTAGCCCACCTAAATTCATCCCACCATTTGCGCTCCCCGACATCCTAAACCCTGAACCTTAGACCCTAAACCCAAAACCAACTTTCAAACTAAGGGCCGGGCTCAATCTCCGGCTACGCCCCCATCGCTGCTCCTTGGAGGATCCTGGAGCAGCCTTCTTCGCGGCCCTACAAAGTTGGAGCCAAAACGCCAGAGCGATAAGGGGGTTTCCCAAAAAGGAAGTTACCATTTTGGGGGGGTCCCATCAGAAATATTATATATTGAGGTCTATAATATTGGGGTCATCCTTTCATGGAAACTGCGGTAGGCCCTTGCACTTTCTTGGGCAAAGCCTATCCTATCTGATCCGGGGAGAACTAACTGCGTTAGTTTCTGATGCCATGTGCATTTTTAACCACAAGAAACCCCTAAACCCCTAAACCCTAAACCCTAAACCCCTAACCCTTTCCCTCTTTCCACCCAGGAGCCACAGGGCCTCAGTTTCTGGCCTTCAGAAGACAATACGGTTCCCAATATGAAGTAATACTCTTGCTAGACTGCTAGACACTGACTATTACCAGTGCTACTACTAAGTACTAGTACTAGTACTATTGATATTACTATTGCTATTTCGCCACTTCAATCGTAACTACAAATACAGTGACGAAGACAAATTGTGTTCCATCATTAGGTGGACCCCCCACCCAGTAATAGTGACTATCCTCTTATATTCTTATTATACCACTATTACAGCGTGGGGGGTCCTCCTAATCCATCATTGTCAAGATGTCGCTGGAAGCCCCTGAGCTACGCGCATACTTGGGCCTGGAACCTGGCACAGCTATGAAAGAATAGGACTAGGGCAGGACAGAAGCGCAATAAGGAAGGACATTCAAGGTCCAGATACCCTTCTTCAACCCAGGTCTCTATCCGAACTGCTGGGGGCCACGTTGACATGTACATGGCGCGGAGGCAAAGAGTCAGGCATCACTGAAAAAGCAGTCCAAACACTGTGTCCAGATACCCGAAGTAACAATCCCTATTGTTCGAGGCACCCGTCCCCAACACGGCAATAAGGTAGATTCCCTTTTGGCTAGGATCCCCCTTTAGGGAAGTGTATTCCTAGTGGTCCCTCCTTCACAAGGACCTTGGGAACAACTCATCCATGTACATACCCTGGAAGGTGAATGTCTTTCGTGTTGAAGCGTTGTTTAGGTCTAAGCTTACCTGCCCAAGCAAGCCCCTTTGTATTCTGCTTCGGCTATGGGGGTAGCTGCAGAGCACCGGTGACAACGGGACAACCTGACACCCCAAACAGGTGCCAGGCAAAATAACCCCACCCTTTGATAATGACTATGAAGGATAATGGATATTATAGTAAGGTCCCTTTATATTCCAACTATACCGCTATTGCAGGGTGGGGGGTCTACCAAACGAACCTTGGCCGCTCAAGGAAAGTAGGTATTGTCCAAGGTTGAGTTCACCTCCATTTTGTAGTCCTCGGATGCGAAGTACTTCTGCAGCGTTGGCAGGGCCCGGAAGGCCTCGTAGAAGGCTTTGCACTTCGGGAACTTGTCGAGGACGGGCTCGCCACCGATCCTCTCAGCCAATATTTGGTGCTGGTCCAGCATCTCCCAAATGTGGAAGTCTGCCACACCCGGGCCATCTGCCAACACAAACCACTTGCCAGAAGAGGCGTTGTCCTTGAAGTTCAGGATTGCCTCGAACTTTGCGAAGGGCGGGGACTTCACAATTCTTTCAGCCATTGCTTCAAACTCCCCCTTATCGCGGCAGACGTTGTGGTGTGGGTAGGACAGGAGGATTATCTTGTTGCGAACATCGTAGATCTCGCAGAGCAGCTCATCTGTGCGGATCTTCTGGGATTCGCTGGCGCCATTCAAGCCGAACTTCTCACCCAAGTACTGAAGTATAGCATTGGTCTGGCACACGCATTTGTCACCATCTATAAGATATGGGAGGTTTGCAAGGGGATTCAGCTCCAGGATTGCAGGCTTGCGCTCCTTGAACCAATCATCCCCGGTGAAGTACTGCTTGTCCTCGTACTTGGCCTCCTTGTACTCCAGTAGCATACGGAAGACGGCGCCAAGACCGCGGATCTTCCAGTACCCAAACTCCATGGCTTATCAGGGTAGGGACTGCTTTCAGTATCAACCTGATCACCCTTTAGTATCTCGTGCCTCCAAAGGCACCCAACTGGGAGCCAACGTTGCGTCGAAAACCTACCTGACTGTGCCAGTCAGAAGAGATGATCAAGAACACTGAACCTTCAGTGGATGGATGAAACCTTGCAAACCCTTGCATCACTTGAGGCTCGAACTAAATTGCAATTTCTAGGGTATACTGTACATGAGCTGGTGCAAGATTTCCTTGGCCCACAGTTTAGGCACCTATAGGCACCTCAATTACAAGCCCCACGAGGGTTGAATATGAAGATAAAAGACAGCGTGCCACTCACGCGAAATCCGGGAAATCGCTGGTTGGATATGTAGCGGCTTCATGGTGCGCAGGAACCTGCGAACGAAAAAGTCAACAATTGTATGCTAGTCGCTGCAGGGATCAGAATCCTTGCGCGAAGAAGCCCCCATATCAGGTGGCAGGTTAGGTTATAGTCCCCTTCTCTAATGATAACCCCCCATCACCCTCAGTTCTAAATACCCCGATGCAATACCATTGCACACGAGGAGGCGCATGTTAGGAGTCGGGGGATGGGTGTTATCACTAGTGGGAGGGCAAACTATGCTTGCAATCTCTGTCCTGAATGGGTTGACGTGCGGTGCGGGCATGCTTGGATGACACGCGTTGGCACCCTTTTCATGCACGATTGTAGCTTCAGTCACGCTCCTCAGCGTTGACGCGAGTTCCTTTCCAACTGCTGCAACACAACCGTACCGCTAAGACCTGATACATCTAGTGGTGCTGATGCAGGCAATGACATTCTGGTTGTGGAGCGAGTTGGCTACGCTACATGGCTGCTGCGCAGCTCAGCAAGCATGCAAGCATGCATGCGGCTCTTTGGGCGACCGCGCGAGCATTAAAAAGCGCCGCCCGCCGGAGAAAGTAGTAGAACTAGTTGCAGTAACATGCGTATTGATCGAAGTACAAAACTCTAATACAATTGTTGCTAACCTTTTTAAACTACATTTCAACGGGCTTCTAGGATCGAACATCTTTCGAGGCGGGCGGGGTGTGCACCCATCCAAAACCTGTAATAAACAGATTTAAGTCGTTTAGGGTTCCCCCCTTCCTCCCCAATGACGAATGCCCCAACCAATAAAAGCCCAAATAAGTACCATCTCATATGAAGGGGACGATTTGTTATTTTGGGGAGGGTTGGTGAGGGGGAGTTGTTATTACGGGAGAGGATCCCGAGTTACAGCAGCTGTGTGGGTGAAAGCACTGGGAACCGTTTTACCAAACTATGACACTATGATACTTTAATACTACCACAAAACTACCGCACAAACATCGTGGATACAATAGTAATACGAAGAAGAATACTACAACTAGTAATCAGAATCAGACTGCTGGCAGTACTAGCATTCACGATAACTAATGTGAAGCGTATGGCGAACTAAGGATAATAAAATGAACACTGATGATAAGCCCTCGAGATCCAAGTATACAACTATGTAATACCTACATTGGACCGCAAAGTGTACAACACTTCCTTTCTTTCTGGCCATGTCAAACCCTAGGGACAGATCAAGCAGCAATCCAAAACCCTCAAACCTTAAACCATAGTAATCCGGCAAGGTCAGCAACTGTACTCCCGCGCGCCGCCGCGTCGCTTGCGCCCTGAGGCGCGCTGCCGCCACTTGCAGCAGGGGCCTCTGATGAGAGCTCCCTGAACCAAACAAATCCTGAAGCCTACGCCCAAGATCCATAGGGTAGGGTGTAAGTTTTAGGGTTTGGGTCATGGGAAAATTCTTGCAACACCTCATAGGGCTCATATTCCTGGAATCACAGTTCTGAAGTGGCGAAATTTCCTCAATCCACCGTCGTCATGGCACATTTCCAAAAACACTAGTGTTACCTAAACCCCCAAAGTATGCAAAATAATAGCCCTAAACCCATAATAACAGCCATAAAGGCCATTATTTTGCATACTTTAGGGGGTCCAGGTATCTATACTGAGACATGTTAGACACTATCGGATATCACCTGGTTCTGACCCGGGCTTTGCCCTGCAACCCTAAACCTTAAACCCTAAATTTAGGGTTTAGGGTTTAGGGTTTAGGGTTTTAGGGTTTAGGATTTAAGGTTTAGGGTTTAGGGGTTACCAAACAATGAGACTCAAGCTCAATTCTGGTTCCCCAGAAGCCTGAACCCTAATGACTTTACTGTGCAGCCAACCCCTGTAAATCCGGAAAGAATTTTGCGTATAATCATACTCCTCAAGTCTTAGCCCTAAACTTATAACCCTACTACCAAACCCCTAAAAATCCATAATAAAACCCAAGCCTTACCACCGAACCCCCTAAAAACCATAGTAACACCCAAACCTTAAAAACCAAAGCTTGACCCTACAGGCAAACATAGGCTCGGAGCCTGCTGCAAACATACCTGAGCTGAATTCCTTGTAGGTTTTGGGGTTTGGGGGTTAGGCTTTAAAGTTTTAGGGGTTTAGGGTTTAAGGGTTTAGGGGTTTAGGGTTTAAGGGCTTAGGTTTTAGGGGATTAGGGTTTAGGGTTCCGGGCTTAGGGTTTAAGACCACAAACTTGGGAAAATGTAGGCCCCCATACGATAAACAAAGTATGTGCAAAGCATAGCGCACTGCAATCCGGGCTGTCTGGGGTATTTGTTATGGCTTTTGTCTGCAGCCACCCTCTGGCAAAACAACCCTATCCCGCGTGTGTGCCGACTTAAGCAATATACACGCTGAATTCTTTAAAACACAAACCTTTTAAATCTTAAGCCCCCAACCCTATATCCTAAACCCTGAACTTCAAGCTTCAAGTTCCAAAAACGGAGCCTAGATCCTCAACAATCAGCCTAAGACCTAGGATCCACAGATCCGAACCCCAAGCGTTAGCCCTGAGACCCCAGCTGCAAAGCCACGGACCCTTAGGGTCCCAGAAGTTCCCTCCTTCGCATGCAAATGCGGGTTTAGGGTTTAGGGTTTAGGGCATGCTGTCTGCCTTTCGTACCCTGAGCAGTAGGAAACCTGTCAGGGTTTAGGGTTTGAGGTTAAGGGGGTCAGGGGGGCTCTCTGAAGATGGGGGCCTGTAGGGTTCCAAGGTCCTTCGCATACACCGGATTTACCACAGGTTTACCGGACGGTTTTTGTGGCTTTTATTTAGGATAGCGCAAAAACTACTTTAACTCTAAACTGTCTTAGCGTTTGCGGCTTCAGGATAGCTATAGCTCCTTATAAATCCGTATATTGGGGCTTGGCAGGCGCTTACTTGCGCTATAAGTCCGGCTATAGCCCGCAACCGCAAGCCCTGAAGGACGAGACTTCCCCAAAATCACAGAACCCCTCAAGGATCCAAAACATGGAACCCCTGATAATCCCCGAGTTTCCCCAATGTAATAATGGGTTCCTATTGGGCGGGGCTCCATTTTTTGGATCCTTTAGGGGGTCTGGGATTCATTATGGAATAACTTGCAACATGTTGTAAGCGTATGTGCGGGTTTACATAAACTAGGGTTAAGGGCTCAGGGCTCAAACAAACCCCAGAATATCGTCATGAAGGACTGCAAGAGGAGGCGCCTAACTGATTATTCGGCAATTATGTTGAAGGCTGAGATGACCAGTTCATGGACAATCCACCTCTCCCACCTCCCCCATTAACAAAACCCCACCCCGCAACTATAAAAAGGCACCTTCCCGCTAGTCTACATATTACAGTATGATGGGACTGCGTATTCCTGGGGGTGCGGTGTTTTTATCATTAAGGCAAACTTATGAGCGATTTCTCGACGTGAAGCCCTAAACCATACCTACACCCCAAACCTACGGTGTGTTCGGCTCTGCTTAACACTTTGGAGGACCCAGCCAACCCCAATTGCCAAGCACACCTACCGGTATGGCTTTATGGTACAGATTGGAATGCGGTAATTACATGTTAACAGCAAGGGCTTTCAAAATCACTTGGGGTCAAAAGTATGTTGTAACCAGAAACACAACAAAACAAATCTGCATACTTGGAAATGGGTTTCAGATACTGATTACAACTCTAACCTTTCCTTGCGGCTCAAGGAACTGTTATCGAGTGGGATTCAGCTAAGCATAGAGTGGCTTTTCGCCTTCTCAGATCCAGTGGGATCTGATTTGCCTGTTGCTGTTGTGCATGCAAGCACCGTAAACAGCAAAGATCGTGCGTGTGAGGGGGCTGGACGACAACCTACTCACTTTGCGGTATCGTTGTAAGGGCAAATGAGCCATCGTCTAAACTCCTAGTATCCCCCTTAATAAGCCCTATAGTAGTCCCTATATAATCCCCTATATAACCCCCTGTTTGGAGTTTAGACTATGGCTCAAATGAGCATCGTGTGAACTAACTTGCCCAAAAACCTTTTCTGGGGCATGTTTTGGAGGAGCCGGAGGTCCTGAATCTAATCTACCAGTATCCTGACACTCTATCAGAGGTTAGGATTTTAACCCAGGGTACACAGAATCAAAGAGCACTCTAAAAGGAGCCCTAGGAGGGTAAGTGCTCTTTGGTTTCTTGGGTTTGTATCCCTATTATGGTCATAAAATCCTAACCTGCTCTATCAACCTGGGATATGATATTTCTCATAATCACCTCCCCCAAGAATTTAATGCACAACCCCCCCCTACATGATTGGGGACTAGGAGTGGGCTGTATTGTCGGGTGGAGGCAAACTTTAGGTAAACCCTGTCAAATCTCAACATAATCCACATAGCAGTTAAATTCCCTGGTGGTTCTCAATCATTGAGCATGAAGACTTAGGGGCAGGGGATTGCCCTAAACCTTAAACCCTAAAGGCCCTTAACTTTTCCTTGGGGTCTTTGCTGGGCTGCTTATCAAAGGACATGCTCTGGGGACGGCAAAAGGCTGAGGCAGCATGCCCGCCGATCCTACTGTCAAGTACATGGGAGTTTCCAAAAGTTGGGGGGAAGTGCCTACAATAATCAGAGTAAAAATAGGGG